AGGTTCAAGCATAGGTTCTCGACGTCTTTAGTGCTGGGCAGCATCAATAACTCAGCATACTGAATACCACTCGTATAAAAAAACTATATTATATATACTGTAGATACATTAAATACAACATTTTGGTGTGCAAGCTCCACGGACACGAATTCACGATACGGCACGTAATTTAAAAACAGAAAGAAGAAGTGTCAAAGTAAAGAATCAAAAGACAACGAAATGGCTTTGAGCATTTGTGAGAGAGTCCAACGAGGCTTGGCTGAGTTGGCTCGAGATGGCGGAGAAGTTCCCTGAAGCCAAGGGCATTTTGGTAAATTCCTTCACATGTCTTGAGAGCAGAACGCATTTGGTTACCTCGCTCATCGTCCTGAGAACTACAGTATCCTTCGGTTTACCCTGTCGGACCTCAGGTTTCTTTGGAGGATCGTCCGTCACCGGATCTGGAGTCTGCACCCGTCGGATCATGAGATGGCTGTACATCTGCTTCGGGATCCTCGAAGCACCGCAGATTAAGGAGATAGCTAAAGCCCTAGATTTCTCCGGCCTCAGGTTTCTTTGGAAGCGGCGAGGTGGATGGATCTTCGTTTGTTGCGGTGATCGATTCCTCGACGAGCGGATCGGCGGGGAGTTTTAGTTATACTGTAAAACGCTGTGGTTCTGGCATGAACCGATCTAAACCGACATAATATGGGATTGGGCTTTACTTCTGAGCTTTTAGATGGTGGGTTTGCTTTATTTATATCTGGTGTACTCTGTTTCACCGCTAATGATCTGTTTTTCAGTTTGTTCACTTTCTGACTAAGCATTCGTAGGTGATATTCAACCAAACGAGACAATTAAACACAATCAAACTAACCAAGAAAGGGTTTTTAATGTTTCTACGTCTTTGTCTCAACTTGTATACATGTTTGATTAATCCATAACACGAGATTAACACAGTAAAAGATACTACTTCCATAGTTCTTGGAGACAACAATTTTTGGTATTAGCATCGTCCATTAATCCTCCAATGAATCGGGCCGTAGCCAAAGACGACGATCATCCATCCATGATAGATCTCACTATCTCGTCACAAGTCACTAAACCCCCACGACTGTTGACACATAATCCATCCACGGCCAGCTCAAGCTCCTTCACCAGCGTGAAAGCATTCAGCTATTGCTCGGCGTTACATAACAAGCTCTGAAGAGTAGAGTTCCAACCCCAGTGAGACAGGAACCCTCTAATCGCCTTATGGTCCAGTACTTCCACTTGTGGAGCCCAACCACACACCAAACATTCCTGCCACTTTCTTCTTCAAATCTATTCGTAGGCTCCAACACATGGTGAAATTCCATATCTACTCGCTTAAATTCAAGCTCCGTGCGTAGCTTCAAGCTTCCGAACTATTCCGTCGTGGAGCAGACAGATTTTTTTTCCTACGATCATTTGTTAAGGAAGTTTGCGAGACGCTACGGAACAGTCCACAGTGGAATGAGATGGCTTTGCTCATTATTTCAAGTTAGATAGATTGGGCGTCGGGTCCCTACCTTCCTTATCTCTCCCATGATTGAGAAGGGCACTGGTATGTGATTTGTTCAAATGCGTATCACTATTGTGCTACCATGGCTCTTACCAATTTCAGATTTGCTTGATGATTTAGATTGATTTGAGTATTGAAAGTTTCGTACTCAGCTTCATGTTTGTGATGCTAATCTGACATAAACTCGTGAAAAAATTGGGTCACATGATCTCGCTTGGACTAATTTGGCTCATTTCTTCATTAAATCTGCTTTACATTATTATATGTAATCTTTGATGCTTTGCTTCAAGGCTCTTGGATAAGGCTTCAAGCATATGTTATAGCTTAATTGTGTGTGTGAATCGGGTTTTGTTATCCCGTCTTTGTGATTTTGACAAGACTGGTGTTGGGGTTGGTTTTGTTGCAGTGGTAGATGAACCTGATGGTCCAACACCACATTCACAGTTTGAGCATTCTTCTATACCCACAAACGTGAAGAAACTCCTCAACCTAAAGTATAGCTTGTTCCAGAAATCAGACGCCAAGGGAAACGATTTCTCACCGACAAAGGTCGCAATAAGGTACTCCGCCACAGACACTGAAGAAGAAGCTAAGATATCAATAAGACCATTCATTTACCTATAACTTAGTGCGAGAACAGAATGATTTGTACACGGAAAAGCCTGTTCTTGATACTTAAGCAGCGAGAATCCAGTAAATTACCAAACAAAATCCGACTTCATTTAGCAGCAGCTAAGAGATGCTCAGATTCTTCATTTACCTTAACTAAGTGCACGAATCTAATCATTTTCCACATGCAAAAGCTATGTTCTCGATACTTAGGCAGTGAGAAACCAGAAATTACCAAACACAATTCAAAATTGCTGCTCTCTCTCCATCGCAATGATCAAAGGTACGACGAGGATCAAAAACGTTGTTCCGGCGATCCACGCAGCTTTTCCGGTGCCCCATAAAAGCTTCTTCGACACGTAGATGGCGTCGCACGGGGCGCGTCTTCCCTGAGATACGATCTTGGAGTTTGAAATCTTAGCCAAGATGCTCGAATCTCTCTTGCTTGATTTGCCATTGATTGCGATTTTGAAAGATCTAAAAACTTCGGGGAGAGAGAGGTATGAGCACGACCAGGAGGGTTTTTACTATTGAACAACGCGAGTTTGTAAGTTGGATGGTTATGATTTTAGGCCCATTTATCTTTTTTGTGCACCGACCAGCACACACGCGTCACCTTCCGTTTTGATTCGTCGTCTCATACAAGCGATTAAGAAGAAGGAGAGATGAAGTTAGAGAGCATTTACTGATTCGAAATACTTCTAGAAGCAAGCATCATCTTCAGTTCCCGATGTTCGTATTCTTTACTCGTTTTGTACGGATTGGGAATAAAACTATGGTTTTACAGTAGTCCGTTTTTTATTATGTTTCTGATTTATTTGGGATTACGATTAGGGTTTTGCTTGTCCTGTTATCCAGCTTACTGAATTGTGATTTGCTTTTGACTGACCTGTTTCGAGTTGAGCAC